GAAGACTTGTTAATCAACATAGAACTGGTACTATTAGCCATCGGACGTTGGGATTCATACTGAGGGGAGGATCTGAGCACCTATGGACATGTCCGGAGTGCAATGATGATAACCCAACTAACTAACTAACTAACTAAATTTCTTGTTGCTACTTTTAGTATTGTATTAGTCACTCTTTCAGCAAAAGTATCAATGTTTTCACCTTCAGCTCTAACCAACTCTGTATTATTAAGTTCATCTATAACTTTATCCCATTTCGCTTTTTTAAAATTGAAAGTAGGTTTGTTACTAGTTTCATATTTTGTTGGTTGGGTTTTAATTCTTGTTAAAATTGGAAGATGGTCGCTTGAGGTGTCCTCTAAAACTTTCCATTGGCTTCCAGCTAAACTCTGTGTTACTAGTGTAAGGTCAATAGCCTAATGTCTATTACCTGGAATTGGATTAATCCTTGTTATCGACCCGTCATTGAGTACTGTTAGTTGATTATCTTCAATAAATTATAATAGTTCTTTTCCTGACAGACTTTCTATTCTGCCACCCCATAAGGGGTTTGAGCAGTTGAAGTCGCCTACGATTATTGTGTTAGTGGTTATCCTGTTTTCTATTTCTTTAAGATCATTCTCCTCTATCTCCCCTTTTGGGCAGTAGATGTTAATTATCTTTAGGTTTTGAGGTTTGCAGGCTATTTCTACACACAGACCTTCAAAGTTGTTAGTTTTGAACTTGTCCTGAGTTATTTCTCTTATTCCCTTATTGATGAGGATGGCTACGCCACCTCCATTGCCTATTTCTCTATCATTCCTGAATATTTTATATCCTGGGAGTTTAAAGGTATCTTTTGGTTTCAGGTTTGTTTCTTGAAGGGCTAGTATATTACACTCGCCCTGGAAATCTGACATCATTGCTGGTAGGTTAAGTTTAGCTCCTCTGCAGTTAAATTGAATTATCTGCAGGTCTAGTTTATTCACTACTCTAGGATTGAATTTTGGTGATTTTGTGTGTCTGGTTAGGCTTAGTGTGGGTTTGACTGACTGGTGTCTTTAGTTTTCTATTTATCTAGTTAGATAGAGACAACACAACATTCAATATCTGTGAACATAAAGGCGGGGGTAGGGGTGGTTGCGCTGGGGTGGAGCATGAGGCCCGTGGTGCTGGTGCTGGGGGTGAGGACGGGTGGGGTGTGGATTGCGCTGGAGCGGTGCATGGGGTTGGGAATGCTGGTGCTGGGGTGGAGGCTGGTAGCGTGCAGGGTGTGGGATGGGCTGGTGGCGTGCAGGGTGGGGGATGCGCTGGTGGGGCGCATGCTGCTGAGGATGCTGGTGCTGAAGACGAGGGCGGGTGTAGTCAAGAGGTGGGTAATCTCGGTAGGAGTGTAGGTCACTGGAATAGGGTAGGTCGGAGGATGGTCGGTGAGGGTGTGGCCCACTGGTGTTGGGTAGGTTAGTGGCAGGTCTCACAGTTGGCCTGTAAGTTCCATGCCTGGGTCGGAAGGGTACAGCTGGAGGTGGTTGGTGTTGAGCGGGTTTGGGTACATTGGGTCTGAGAGGGGGAGCATTGGCAGATTTGTTGATGCCTGTACCTCCCTTCACCTGCCTCGTAGTCCCTGCACTGTCAGTAATTCCTCCTTGCTTGCTGTACTGATTCACTCTTTTTTCGAAGTTCTTTTTAAATGCTAGGAGTTCCAGAACTTCCTTTCTCTTATAAAGATCTGCTTTGTCAATAGGTGTTGTTTTAGTTTCTGGGTCCTCTCCTTTTTTTGTCTGTCCGGTCTGTTCTTTTAGTCTCCTTATTTCGTTCCTCATATCGTCCATTTCCTTTTCCATCCTATCACGTTCCCCGGTAAGGTCCTGCACTGTCTTCCTCAGTTTGTTCCTTTCTGTTGATACTTTACCCAGCATTGTATTGAAATCTGCATTCACCGCTACTATTTTCTCAATCTCCGCATAGTGCGTACATGCCGGGATAGGCATACAGACATGGTAGAAGGGTGGTCGGCATTCAAACCGGCTTGGAGGTGGGGGCTTGGTGCATGGACATCCAGGAGGGCACTGGCGTGTGACGGGAGCCGGGCCAGCAGGGTAGGGCGTGGTAAAGGAGGGTGGGGTTGGTACCACAGTTGGCCGGGGAGCAGCCAAGCCTCCAGCTGTGGGCTTTGTGCATGGGCAACCAGGGGGACACTGACGTGGAAGTGGAGCTGGGCCAACAGGGCGGGGTGTGGGAGGGGAAGGTGGAATGGGTACCACAGTTGGCTGGGGAGCGGCCGAGCCTCCAGCTGTGGGCTTGGTGCATGGGCAACCAGGGGGGCACTGACGTGTAAATGGAGCTGGGCCAGCAGGGCGGGGTGTGGGAGGGGAAGTTGGGGTGGGTACCACAGTTGGCTGGGGAGCTTAGTTTGATTAACATTTTATATTCCAAGCAAAATTAACATTTTATATTCTAAGCAAAACACCATATGTACTTGAATATTACAATGAATTGTGGCATGTAAATCAAGTAAATTAGACGACAGATTATCCTCATTGGACACTGAAACATTCAGTTCATAAGTTCATGATCCTTTGCTCTAATGGTTCTTAACCTTCCTGAAGCTGCGACTTTTTAATACAGTTTCTCATGTTGTGGCAACCCTTTAATACAGTTTCTCATGTTGTGGCAACCCTTTAATACAGTTTCTCATGTTGTGGCAACCCTTTAATACAGTGTTCCTCATGTTGTGGCAACCCTTTAATACAGTTTCTCATGTTGTGGCAACCCTTTCATACAGTTTCTTATGTTGTGCCAACCCTTTAATACAGTTTCTCATGTTGTGGCAACCCTTTCATACAGTTTCTCATGTTGTGGCAACCCTTTAATACAGTTTCTCATGTTGTGGCAACCCTTTAATACAGTTTCTCATGTTGTGGCAACCCTTTAATACAGTTTCTCATGTTGTGGCAACCCTTTAATACAGTTTCCTCATGTTGTGGCAACCCTTTCATACAGTTTCTCATGTTGTGGCAACACTTTAATACAGTTTCTCATGTTGTGGCAACCCTTTAATACAGTGTTCCTCATGTTGTGGCAACCCTTTAATACAGTTTCTTATGTTGTGGCAATCCTTTAATACAGTGTTCCTCATGTTGTAGCAACCCTTTAATACAGTGTTCCTCATGTTGTGGCAACCCTTTAATACAGTTTCTTATGTTGTGGCAATCCTTTAATACAGTGTTCCTCATGTTGTAGCAACCCTTTAATACAGTGTTCCTCATGTTGTGGCAACCCTTTAATACAGTTTCTTATGTTGTGGCAATCCTTTAATACAGTGTTCCTCATGTTGTAGCAACCCTTTGATACAGTGTTCCTCATGTTGTGGCAACCCTTTGATACAGTGTTCCTCATGTTGTAGCAATCCTTTAATACAGTGTTCCTCATGTTGTAGCAACCCTTTAATACAGTGTTCCTCATGTTGTAGCAATCCTTTAATACAGTGTTCCTCATGTTGTAGCAACCCAAAACCATACAATTAATATCGTTGCCACTTCATAACTTCAATGAATATGTGTTTTCTGTTGGTTTTAGGTGACCCTGTGAAAGGGTAGTTCGACCCAAAAAAAAGAGTCGCAACGGTACGTTGAGAACCGCTGTCCTACTCAGTTTAGCGGCTGACTGTACCAGAAATGTGTTGGTTTCTTGTTCCTCTTTGGTTTCCTGCATAGTTTTAATTTGCTTTTCTTCCGGTCTGGTCATGGTTGCAAATTGACAGTCACTTGGTTCTTACAGTCTGATCATGGTTGCAGATTCATAGTCACTTGGTTCTTACGTCTGGTCATGGTTGCAGATTCAGTCACTTGGTTCTTACGTCTGGTCATGGTTGCAGATTCAGTCGCTTGGTTCTTACGTCTGGTCATGGTTGCAGATTCAGTCACTTGGTCCTTAAGTCTGATCATGGTTGCAGATTCAGTCACTTGGTTCTTACGTCTGGTCATGGTTGCAGATTCAGTCACTTGGTTCTTACGTCTAGTCATGGTTGCAGATTCAGTCACTTGGTTCTTACGTCTGATCATGGTTGCAGATTCAGTCACTTGGTTCTTACACTCTGGTCATGGTTGCAGATTCAGTCACCTGGTTCTTACACTCTGGTCATGGTTGCAGATTCACAGTCACCTGGTTCTTACACTCTGGTCATAGCTGCAGATTCACAATAACTCGGCTCTTACAAACATATTTTTTCTCATGTGGTATTTAGTGTTAATTTATAACAATAATAAAGGCAGATGACAGAGTGGGAAAAACACATGAAGAAAGAGAGTGAAGTTAATATGACGGGGAGGATATGGTGTGAGCTGCATGTGATAGAGAAGGATAGATAGACCTGACATGAGTTGGTTGATGGCCATTGCTCCATTGGGGATAACAGACAGAAAGAAAAAGAAGAAGAACTGTACCAGTCATTGCATTATGTCAGTTTCCTATCTTATGTTTAGCCGGGGACTTTGAAGAACTCTACAACATAGTGTGTGTTTTTTTGCCAGCGTGGGATATTAAGCCCATGCGGAAGTTATGCACCTATGAACTTGGTGATGGCATATTTGCCTTTCATGGACATTTGCTATACCCTTCTGGGTCTTTAAACAAATTTATTTAATTGTATTTCATCGTCTGATGTTTAGTTGATTGATTTATTGATGTAGATTCGATATCTCATCACAGAGAACCAGGTTTAAATTCTCAGTAAAGTGATCTGTGATTTTTTTTTGGTCAGTGGTAAAACTAAAATCTTAATCTGCATAGTCCATTATGATGGCACTAGCCATGTGACCTCAAATCTGCAGGTTCAAGACCTCCCCTACCCCCCCCCCCCCCTTTTTTTTTTCCGGTCCTAAAAGGTGGCAAAATACAGGCTGGAAAGAAGACATTTAATTTATTCTGTTTGCTGGTTGATTTGATTGATGTACTTGATTGATTGATTCAACTGAATGATTCAGATGTTGAATTTAATTGATGATATTGCTACATCTCAGATATGTGCATCTGCTGTTCAACATCACAGTTCAGGTTGTTGTTGGTACGCCACTGGAGATGGTGCATGGGCCATTCCGGATAGCTTTAGTCTACATGGCTGGGATCTTGGCAGGTAATAAATAGTTACAGTGGTGGTTGTGTAGACACTGCAATCAGTACCAATAAATAGAAATGTCAGCTTCAGTTAGAAAGGATATTTAAAGCACAGTATAGAGCATGTGTTGTTTAATGCACATGAGACGGAGAGGAAGCACATAAGCTGAACAAAGTTCACTCACAGCAGAGATGTAGTTTTTGAGAAGAATTCAAAGAAGATCATGGAAGGAAGAAAAACACATTAGGTGTCCTCCTAGAGACAAATGAAAGTCGTATGGCATCATCATCATCATCAGGTGCTTGCGGACTGGCGTGGGCAATCATGCCTCTCCATAATCTGCGATCTCCTGCAGCATGTATCAGTTCGTGTGCCAATACACCTCCATGCTATGCAACAAGACTGTCAAGCATCTTCTCTCGTTGTCTTCTTATATTCCTCCTTCCACGGATCTTTCCAGTGGTCACAACATGTTCTATTTTCCCTCTTCTCATTACATGGCCGAAAAACGATGACTGTCTCCTTCTGATGTTTGTGATAAGTTGTCTCCGGGCTCCCGCCTCTTTCAAAACCTCTTGGTTGCTCTTTTTGGCTGTCCAAGATATTCTAAGCATTCTTCTGTAAAACCACATCTCTGAGGCCTCTAGAAATTGTTTGGCCTGCCTACCGATTGTACAGGATTCACAGCCATATGTTAAAACTGGATGTATGTAGCAAGCAAGAATTCTTTTCTAACTCTCAATGATAAGGATATATTGCACAAGATGTTTTTCATTTTATAAAATGCAGTTTTTGCCTGTCCTATTCTGTTTCTTATCTCAGTTATGCATCTTCCATCTGATGTTATTCATGTGCCCAGATACTTAAATTACTTGTCCTAAAATAATACCATCGACTTCTATTACACCTTTAGGAATAATTCGTTTCTTTGATACCACCATTACTTCTGTCTTCCCATTATTCAAACTGAGGCCCATTCTTCCACTTTCTAACTCCACAATGTCTATCATTTCATGTAGCTCTTTCTGACGTGTTGCTATCAAGACTGTGTCATCAGCATAACGTAAATTGTTTATATTGTGCCCACCAATCACAATTCCGGGCATATCAATTAAAGATCTCATTATATATTCACTGTATATTGAAAACAAATCAGGTGACAGTGACAGTACACATCCCTGTCGTACGCCCCTCTTTATGCTTTGAAATGTACCTAAACAGTTGTTAATTATTATAGCTGCTGTTTGCTGCCAATACATATTCTTTATTATTCTTAGATCTTTCCCATCAATGTTTAATTTTTCTAACAGTTTGATTACTTCTTCATGCTTCACACAGTCAAATGCTTTTGTTTAGTCTATGAAGCATAAGTACAAATCAGTCTTTACTTCTGTAGCTCTTTCTTACAATGTCCTTAGGATGTATATGGCATTGTTTGTACCTTTTCCTTCTACAAATCCACATTGTTCATCGCTGATTTCTGGTTTAATTTTGTTTCTTATTCTTCTTATTATTATTCTCCGTAAAATCTTAGTCATGTGACTCATAAGACTTATTGTGCGATGGTCTTCACATTTTATAGTGCCTTGTTTCTTTGGCAGAGCTATAAATATGGATTTTGAAAGGTCATTTGGAATATGCCCACTATTATGAATATCATTTAAAAGTTTAGTTATTATTTCAATTATGAAATCTCCCAGTACTTCGATTTCTTCCAGTGAGATGTTGTCTGGCCTGGGTTCTTTTCCTTTCTTCATATGATTGATGTATTACATCCTCAACTTCTGCAGTCATTATTGGTGGACCATCATTGTTGGTCTGCAGTTCTACATCTGGTCTATTATCATCATACAATTTCCCTATATACTCTTTCTATCTGTTAATTATATTACTATGTCCCATTATGAGTCACCATCTTTTTATTTCAAACATCCAGTGCTGTTACGTGTCATCTTTCCTGTTAACATATTTATCTGTTGGTACATGGAATGTGAGTCTTTCCTGTGATTTTCCCCAATCTCTGTACACATTTGATTCAGCCAGGCTTCTTTAGCCACTTTGCATTTGTTCACTATTTCTTTTTTTTTATTCTAGAGAATTCTTCTTTATCATTCTTTTTCTTCCTTCTTTCATCCATTGACTGCAGAATTTCAGTTGACATTCATTTCTTTTTTTGCAACTCTATAGGTTGGTGGGATTGTCTCTTTAGGTGTCTGCTGAATTGACTCACGCAACATATCCCACTGTTCATCAATAGTCTGTATAATTTCCATTGCATTACACCGGTTTTGTACAGTTACATTGTATCGTATGGCATAGACAGTCTGTATGCTTGTTTTAAGGTTAAGAGAAGGATAGACTAAAGAACTTGGTTACAAAAGGCAAGACTGATGGAGAAAAATAAAGAGCAGAATGAAGACAGTGAGTTTTAAGATGGCTTAGACATGTGGATAGGGCTAAACAAGAACACTTAGTAGATCCGTGATTCTGATGATCCTGTGACATAACGCCAGCCTGCACTTATTGGCGTGGCACAGAATGATGATGTATTGTTAGCAAGTAAAGTATTATTTCCACTACTTGAGGCATATTGAAGTAGAGTGTATGCAGGTTCCGAATGTTAACTTCATGTCTGCATAGAAGCATATTGGGATGGTTGAAAAACTGAGCTTCTGAAGAGACTGGGAATCAATAAAGACATACTGAATGGAATTTTTCAGAAGAGACAGGTGAAATATTGTGGCCATATTAAAACAGGTTTTAGAAGAAAGGGTTTTTGGTTTTGCCCTCCAGATTTGCAGTCTGCTAGGTTCACATCTCAAGGATGAGAGTCAGACAGCTACAAATCACAAATACCCCATTTCAAATATATAGCACAGTTATATTGCGACACCACAAAATGGTTATGAATTTACTTGCTGTCCAGTGGGGTGGGGAGGGGAGGAGGAAGGGGGGGGGGGGGGTTAAGACTATAGTGAGCACTGGCACTGGTCAGTATGTCTGTAACATAACTCGGTGAATGCTGACACTTCCAACCCCTACATCAATGCATGTCATGGGAATATAATGCTGACACTTCACACCCCTACATCAATGCATGTCATGGGAATATAAAGCTGACACCTCACACCGCTATAACAATATCTGTCATAGGAATACAATACTGACACCTCACATCGCTACAACAATATCTGTCATGGGAATATAATACTGACACTTCACACCCCTACAACAATATCTGTCATGGGAATATAATACTGACACTTTACACCCCTACAACAATATCAGTCATGGGAATATAATACTGACACTTCACACCCCTACAACAATATCTGTCATGGGAATATAATACTGACACTTCACACCCCTACAACAGTGGCTGTCATAGGAATATAATGCTGAACTTCACGCCCCTACAACAATATCTGTCATGGGAATATAATGCTGACACTTCACACCCCTACAACAATATCTGTCATGGGAATATAATGCTGACACTTCACACCCCTACAACAATATATGTCATGGGAATATAATGCTGACACTTCACACCCCTACAACAATGGCTGTGGTGGAAAAGTTAATGCTGACACCTCACACCCCTACAAAATCTGTCATGGGAATATAATGCTGACACTTCACACCCCTAAACAATATCTGTCATGGGAATATAATGCTGACACTTCACACCCCTACAACAATGGCTGTCATGGAAATATAATACTGACACCTCACACCCCTACAACAATGCATGTCATGGGAATATAATACTGACACTTTACACCCCTACAACAATATATGTCATTGGAATATATGTGCCTTTGTTTTCCTTATCCTCCCATTTTCCAAAGAAATATGATAACCTCATGACCAGTTTACTAAATATCACATGTTCTCCACCATAGGTTCACTTGGTACATCAGTGTTTGACATGGATGCATTCCTGGTTGGATCGTCTGGTGGGGTCTACGCTCTGCTGGCAGCACACTTAGCTAATGTATTGTTGGTTCGTAGTTGTTTTGTGTGATAGGCCTTGTTTTAATTTTTAATAGGCTATACAATTATTAATAATATTTCTAAACTTGTATTATACAAGTAGGTATCCCAAAATAAACTAACGCCCAACCCATTTGTCTTTTGTAGCGGCTCGCCTGTGGATTCGAAATTCATGAGTTTCAGGTCCAGACAGACTTAGCTCTCAAGTCAGCCTAGCCTAAAATGGGTACCAGATATGGGCTCAGGAAGTAAAGGCGGCTAGCATCATGTTGACTACATCACCCAATGTGCACAGATTGGTTTATAGAATATTGGGTCTAGCCCTGTATACCTAAACTGCCTGAGGGCATGGAAAAGGGGTCCCTTTACATTTGTTCCTACCAAAGAGGGATAACTCTCTTAGTGATAGAAGTATTCCCAGTAGATAGCAAAAAGGGGCAATAACCACTGAGAAATATCATTACTTTCAAGATCGTTAATGCACAGTAAGATTAATGCTTATTTAGTTTGGCATAATGTCATGATTTGAATTTGATAGACAACATATAAAGTGGTTTAGGCATCTCAAACAACACTGTGCTACCAGTGCCAGACTTGGACATTAAAGCTAACCTACGTAAATTACCACCTGCAAAATGAGATGCCTGAGAAAAGCCACTGACTTAACCATCTGAGGCAAATATTATCAGACAGACTGTAGGAACAACACCATGCAGCAAAGGTATGAAAATGGATCTTTACTTACTGCACAGCTAAACTGGCCTGCTTTTCTTGTTATGGTGCTATCACTAAAAGCAAAGTTAGAACTTAGAAGACAGCTAATTTTTAGAAGATTTTAAATGATTCCATATATGTCAGTAAAACTTCAGGGTGGTGTAAATGCTTTGATTTAAAGTTGTATTTTTGGTGGACATTTAAGTTAACTATGCATGCATTATCTTAAATGTTGCATGAATAAATCTGAAAATGTTTTAAATAAACTGCAAAATGTTTTAATAAACTAGTGAATATGTATGTATGCATGCATGCGTGAATAAATTTGATGTTTTAAATAAACTGCTAAATGCTTTAATAAACTAGAGAAACTTGAAAAAAAAAAATAGAGAAAACATTCAACAAAGTAGAGAATTCTTTCTATAAATTTGAAAATGCTTTGCTTTAAAGGTTGTTGTTGTTTTTGAATTTTTTTCCTCGTGTTTATTTTTATTTACATACTTTATATATATCAGCTTTATGCGCATTTATGCATGTTGAAAATGTCTGTTATCCTTTGCCAGTCCAAAAATATCAAGCATTTTCCTATAAAGCAAAATAACAATAGCAAAAGTCACAATTGTATCGCTTCAACTTTCTATTCTTAAACACTCTTGATGTGTGAATGCCAGCCATTGAGTTATGAGTTTTTTGTTTTTTTTACAATTGATCAGAGTTTTGTAAAGAAATCTAGCTTCATCAGTAGCCACATCATGCATATTGCCTGTTTGAAAGTAATGTGACTGGATTTTTTTGTGTGGCATATCTACCTTTGGCATTTCATGTGAAATTAACAGGGGCCACAAATATTGTTGGAAACATATTGACTGTTGAATGTTGATTTAGGAATTGACATTGTAGCACTCGGGACACTCTCATAAGCTCTCTATCCCCACCTGCAGCAACAAGCAATGAGTTCCAATTCAGATGGTACCAGTCACTGTCTGATACTGTTTGAAATGGGAAGAACAACTAAAATAATTACTTATCAGTTGCAGACATTTATTAACTTGTGCTTGAGCAGAATAGAGGGAATTAAATTGTATGGTAAAATCACTAACACTGAGCTTTGAGAGAGAACTAAGTAAGACAACACTAGAGAACTTCACTATGTTCCAGTGGAACAAGAGGTGAAGAAGAATTACTGGCCTTGTTGAGCAAACCTGAGAACGATCTAGTTAGAATATATTTGCACTGGAAATCACAGGGCACATAGAAATAAAGCTACACACAAAAAACACGCAGAGGTGAGCTAGAGAAAGGGTTTAAAAGATACGGAGAACATGAGGCCAGCTGCATGCAAAAGTGAAGGATAGGACAACTTGGCATGAGACGTTTGGGTGCCTGTGCTCGATTGAGGAATGAAGGGCAGAAAAAGAAAAGTATACTTTGTTTTATTCTGTCTTTGATGATATAAGGTTGTGACCTTAAATGTGACTTTGATGTCTTATTTCAGAATTACTCTCACATGGAATTAGGGATACTCAAGCTAGCTGCAGTTTTTATCATTGGTAAGAAACTGTAGTGTACAATTTTAGTTTTGTATATTTATGCCTACTGTCTCTTTGTCCATCTGTCATTTGTATGGCTGTTGCTTTTGTGTGTATCTATTATCTTTTTGTGTGTTGATTGTATGTTTGTCTGTTGTCTGCCATCTTTGTATTTTTTTTTTTTTTTGGTCTGTCTTGGGTCTGTATGTTTATTGTCTGTATCAATCTATTTTCACATCTCTCCATTGCCTGCTTTTTGTATATCAGTCCGTTGTCTTTGCATCTCACTGCTGTCTGTATGTTGAATGTCTGTGTATGAGTTTGTTATCTTTAAGTGTGTCTATTGTCTCTTTATCTGTTGTCTGCCATCTTTGCATTTCTTTTTGACTATGTTTTTATTGTCTGTATCAGTCTGTTGTCTTCACATTCTCTGTTTGTCTGTTTTATGTATATCTGTTTTATGTATATCAGTCTGTTGTCTTTGCATCTCACTGCTGTCTGTATGTTTAATGTCTTTGTATGAGTCTGTTATCTTTGTGTGTGTCTATTGTCTGTGTATCTGTTGTCTGCCATCTTTGCATTTCTTTTTGTCTATATGTTTATTGTCTGTATCAGTCTGTTGTCTTCACATTCTCCATTTGTCTGTTTTCTGTATATCAGTCTGTTGTCTTTGTATCTCACTACTGTCTGTATGTTGAATGTCTGTGTATGAGTCTGTTATCTTTGTATGTGTCTATTGTCTGTTTATCTGTGGTGCCAGTTTTGCATTTCTTTTTGTCTGCTGCCATTTTTGTATTTCTTTTTGTCTGTCTTTTGTCTGTATGTTAATTATCTGTATCAGTCTGTTGTCTTCACATTCTCGGTTGCCTGTTTTCCGTATATCAGTCTGTTGTCTTGGCTGTGTATGAGTCTGTTATCTTTGTTCCTCTCTGTCGCCTGCCTGGCTGTTGTCTACATGTCTGTTATCTGTGTGTCTGCCTGTTGTCTTTGCATCTCACTGTTGTCTATCTATCTGTTATCTTTGTATTTGTTTTCTGTTGCATTTGTGCACATCTCTTGTCTGTTTCAATATTTCCTTATGTGAAATTAAACCTAGAAATAATATTAAATGTGAAATTTAATCTACAGATTACTTTGCACTGCAATGTTAATTTAAAATAACAAACTGTTTTTAATATTAATTTTAGTTGCTTATTATTTTTTGTAATGTTAAATTAAATCTTCAGATTTATTTTAATGGCGCATTAGATCTACATGTTATTTTTCAGTTAAAAATTAAATCTAATTATTATTTTTTACAGCAAGCGCTGATGTTGGTTTTGCTATCTGGAATCGTTACACCCACAAAGAAACAACACCTCCCATTGGTTACACTGCTCACCTGACTGGAGCTCTGGCAGGTCTGACTGTGGGACTGGCTGTGCTCAAGAACTTTCAGCAGAAGCTACACCAGCAGTACATGTGCTGGGTGGCCATGGCTGTTTATTTGGGCTGTGTGGGCTTTGCTGTCTTCTGGAATGTGTTCTACTACTAAAGTTTATTTAATATAACCAGATTGTGACTGGTACCATCAGTATTGGAACTTTGCACTGGCTGCTGAAGATGAGGATGGAGCACACATGGGAATACCCCGAGTGCTGTGATGTAAATTCTTGACTCAACTCAACTTAAAGTTTATTTAGCACACTGCACACACACACCCACACAAAAAACACAGACAATTTGGAAATTCATATTTGAAAAAATCTGTATCTTTGTTGGAACATGTTGTTAAAGATAAAAACGGGACAGTTTTTAATTCATGATATTTAATTTATTTCATTTTACATTAATCTGTTACCTCTGTTTGATCTGTCAGTGCTCCACATAGTGGTGACTGTTTGTACATTTGGCTGTTTAAAAAAAATGAATACTGTAATTGCATGTACCCATTGCTTTTGTTTTCTAAACATTTGTAGTTTGGTAATGTTTACAGTTCAGAGCAAAAAACAATTATATTTTGACTTTACTACTGATTAAGGTTAGGTCCAAGCATGAGATAAAAAGTTTGCTAAACAGATCACAGGGAAAGGCAAATGGCTATATAATTAGCAAGTTGCTGGGCAAGCTGCTGAAGATGGAAATGAAGCACTTATGAGAATGTCCTCAGTGTTCTGATTTCAGTTTATAATTTAATTCAAATAGTCTAAACTCTGACAGGTTTTTAATTCTCTGAATTCCTACACAAGCAAGTGCCTTAACAGAAACGGCCATTATGGTTAAAACAACAACAATAAAAATTTGTGTAAGTTTGTTACTTTTTGAAACATTAATAAAAAATGAAATTTTTAATTCACTCACAAGTTAAAAGGCTTGTTATCAAACTAACCCATGTTTAAAAAAAAAAAAAAGTCATCCTAAGCATTAGGACAGAGTTTTCTGACAATGAAATACCCTCCTTCTTCTTCGTGTTCTGCTGTAAACAGTGCATGCACATCCATTTTACAAATCTGATTTTATTTGTGTGCTGACTGTTGGTTCCTAGCATCTCAGGTAGATGCACTCCGACTCTAAGTAAATGTTGATCCTATCTAGTTAGCTTGGCACCGTGACCACTTCCACAGACAAACTGTATGCTCAACCCACCCACCCCCCCCCCTCCCCACTCCGCCTACTCTCAAAATTTGTAGGGTGGCTAAGTTACCCCCTTCCCTTTAACGATATACAAGTCCCTTGTTTATAAATACCATATCATTTCAAATATAGTATTACATTTGTTTGCTAGTCAGCACATTATATTTATTATTCTTAGTCATCTCAACGAAGCTTAGACCTCCTTGAGGGCCCTTCCTCCAGCATCTATGCTCTACATCGACCTCAGCCTGATAGATTCAAGCCCTGCTCATGGCTCTGACACAACTAAACATCAGTATATTGGACCTCAGAATCAAAATTTTTCTACAGCCAACAACTCCTAGGGCAGGCCTATTCAACTAGGTTTACACAGGGACCAAAGTATTGGAAATGGGAATCATATTGGCCAGAGTCCCCAGCCCACGCAGTGATTTGTGGGCCGCTTGATAGGCCTCCGCGGACCAGATTTGGCCATTAGGCCACCAGTTGAACAGCCCCACCCTAGGAAAAGGAATTAGGATCTAAGAAAACGGCAGTTTATTCATATATATATATGGAGTGTGTGAACAGAATTTTCCTTTCTTGTTGTCTTGATTTTTTTTTTTTTTACTGTAGTAAATACAACTGTTGATAATTTTTTTAAGCACTACAGAATTTGAATGGCAGAATATTGTGGTTTGTGACCATAAATTCTAATTTTATTACCTATAATTAGCTGAATTTTGTTTGTATGTCAAATAATAAATAGTAGATTCGTTGCTTGACTGTTCAACCTCCAAAAAAGTTATGATTAGGATGCCTATAATGGTTACACCAGTGGTATGTTAGCCTGCAGGTGGTAACATGCCCCCCCCCCTCCCCCCCCACCCCCTCCACCCAACCTCCATCCGTCTTTTTTTTTTTTTCAAGTTTTTTATTTCTAGTATTGTAGTCTGTGTGATTAACATTTCAAAGATAAGATCGGAACAAGTACTTCTCCCAGAAACCCCATTCAGCCGTAAAGCTTCTTCCTTATGTTCACTGACTGTAAATTCCAGCAGAAAGTTCTGGTTGTTCATCCACTTCTGGACTTTAATCTCATGTGCACATCATTTTTGCATATCTGGCTTATTATTTTGGTTCTTCACCTTTCAAGAAGGTGCACTCCAGTTTCAAAAGGAATCATCCTTATTTAGATGACTTTTTCTGATATGCTTGTTAGGGAGCAATAGGGGCTTGAGAATCCATACAGAGAAATCATTTAGCACATTTATGTGTAAGTGAGTGGGATTCAATCCCACCAGAACATCCACCAAGCGATAAACACCCAGTGACACAAAGTGCCACCATGTGGATGAGGATCACCCATGGAGAGGTCCCAGAAACCGCGTTCAGCCATTAGACCATATTTATGGTCGGGGCTATATTGCAGCCCCTGGCAAGAGCCAGGGTGGGGCTTCAAAATAGAGAAAAATTGAATCTCACAAGGAGACAATAAAATGAGTTTATGCAGTCATAAGATACTGAGATGACAGATTTTTAGTTTTATCAGTTATTTTCTGGCAGCACACAATTGTTACGGTATAACCTGTAGTCTGATGTGGGTGGCTCTTCTCTTTAAAAGTTGTTGAAGCCATATGTTACTCTGACTATAACTTCCTTGGAGGTTGATCAGGTGGCAGCACAGAAAGGCATAATAAAAATAAATAAATATCGCTTTTAGACACAAAAAGGAAGGAAACAGTTTTTTGCATTATTTCCCTTGACTGTATTATAGCTTAGTTATGTCCCTTTTTTTCTGATGTCAGTGCCCCTCCTCATACTGAAGGTTGACTACAGTGTGCTCACTGTTGTCTACAAATATTACATTGTGGGACCCCAGTTTCTACCACGGTGCTACTCTCTTACTAATGTATGAAAACTATGAGATCTTTTTTTTTTTCAATCATCCGGGTGCATCATGAAATTGTTAAATGCATTTGCTAACCTCTAAGCCACAGAACTGTACATACTGTATTTACATTAGACAGAATAGAAGATATAATCTGCTGTTCTATTTTACTGGGTCAACAGATCACATGCCTGTTAAATTTATAGTTCTTAGGTCCCTTATTTACCTTCGTAGAAGTGCAGGTGACATCAGACTGCTGTAGCTGTTACTGGTGCCCTTATTATAACTTCTTTGGGGGTTAAATGAGATAATCTGGGATCTAATTTGTTGATCTGCTGTCCATATTGAGATTTATAAACCCTAAAATGGTATGGTAAACCTTAAGGTAGCAGACCCAACGGGACAGAATGATCATTCAATCTATCCTTTGTCCCAGGGAATTATTAAGTAGTCCCCTAAAGAAGAATGCTTGCCAGGTTACAACCACAAAGCAGAAAGGCCAAATTTTATAAACATACAGCTTTGATATTTAACTCTTTTTTTTTTGTCCTATAATTACTTTAAACTTTCAGAAGTTATAGTTTACAGCAGCTGTTTTCAGTCCAAAATAAGTTAAAATGATACAGTATGCTATATCATGTAGAAGGTCTTTTGCAGAACGTCGGTCTCATCACGATCTGCCTGAAGGATACTCTGTCTTTCACCAGCTCTCCCGCCTTATGTACTTTCTAACTCAAGGAGTCACTTGTGTCCTGTGTCATCTTTGTGTTGGTCGGCCCCTGCCCTCCTTCCTGGTACCATGCCTACTACTATTATTTTTGTCAGTCATTGATTCTTCTCTTTTTTTTTCAATAGTATTCTGGGAATTTTTCTATAACATTTCAGCTCAAGAGTCGCTATTTTCTTTCCTAAGGTCTGTGAGATAGTCCATGACTCACATCCGTATGTTGCTAGAGGAAAGATGCATGATCTCAAAATTTTAATTTTGATTTCCTTGATGGTGCTTAACCAAAGACTTTTAATGCTGTTTAATCTGTGCATTGCTATGGCCATCCTCCTTTTGATTTATGTCAAGCAGTCTTCATTGCTGTTATTACAGAGCCTAGATATTCAAGTTTGTGACATTTTTAATTTCTTCATTACTTTTTGTTATTTTTGGGTAACAGCTAGTTTTGTCTGTGGAAGGTTTTTTTTTTTTTTTTTTTTTTTTTTTTTTTAAATTCAAGAATAGGTTTTGATCTTCACTGTGTTTTTTTTTTTTTTTGGACAGACATGATTAAATTTTTGATTTGTTTTACATTGATTGAATATATATGCACACAGTATGCAAGCACACATTATAAAGTTCAACTAAAAATGCAGTTTAATGAGTTATTGTAACAGTTATCTGCAATAAAAGACAAGTCATAAATGTTTACCATCTTTGGACTAAATGAGTTGCATAATATTAAAAAAGCTTACTTTTCCAATTCCAGTTAGTTTCACAGCATTTAACCAAATGAGACATAAAATAATCTGTGAGTGAAAGGCTTCTTAAGAGGCTATAGTGGCTTTATTAATTTTCTCTCCATGTGGATTCTGTGCCCCTTTTTTGAGGGGGGGGGGGGGCTGACTGCCCTCCTTGAGCAAGCATGCTGCAAGCATGCTGTAAAAAAATATTAGAGATTTGCTTAAATTAGATGTGTTGGACACAGCCAAACAGTAAACTACAACAAAATATACCAACCACCCTTTTGATGGTAAACGCAGAAGAAGTTTTAATTTCTTAGTGACCCAATAGTTTATGTAAATATTTCTGTAAGAAGAATGTTTGAGTTTTAAGTATAAAGTCCTTGGTTCTGTCATAATTTATGAGGTGCATTGTTCACTGTGAATTTATCGGGTACTTTATTATAATTTTATGAGTTGCTTTGTCAGTGTGAATATCTGAGTTACTATGAATTTATAAGGGACTTTGTGTATTGTGAATTATGAAGTACCTTCTTCTCTGTGAATTTACAAAGTACTCTCTTCTCTGCAAATGTATGAGGTGCATTTTCTGTGTTCTTTTA